TGTGTAGGGCAGCACACAGACCGCTTTACCAAGCTCTCTGCTCGCCCACTCAGGGTCATGAGAAGACTTTCCCTCTTCTCTAGTGGAAAACCCCAAGGAAGTATTTATGACCCACAGGCTGGCGCTTCTTGTCAAGGGACAATTTCTGTATTGAGAGCTGCACCTTTGCTTCACTGTCACTGAAGTCAGGGAGCAGCTGGTCACAGTGACTGTGCAGAGCTGGAGTTTCCTAAGGCACCAAACAGGGCAATAAATCACCTTTGAGAGAAGAATGTGGCAGTGTTCTTCATCCTTTGGCACAGAAAGGTCTTCTCTGCTGATATGACACTCACTGGCCTTGCATCTCACGGCCAGAGATGATACAGCCAATGCCTGTCCCAGGACCCTGTCTTATGAGAGTTTCCTTGGCACAAGGTGCTGAGCTCTTTGCCTTGTAACTCTGTAATTACACAAAGCCATGTTCACCCCCCCCACCACCACTATTAGACCTCGAACCAGATGTTTAATTTAGTAACTCCTGTGTCCAAAGCTCCCTCAGCTGCAGCACAGAAGCGGCTCCAAGTGCCTGAGATCTCCAGCGATATGGGCTGCCCTATGGAGATGTCCATCTCTCTCTGTTACCTGTGTCCAGCCCTAAGTGGGCTGAATCAGAATCCAAGTATAAGCCAGTCCTTGCAAAGTGCTGGGCCAGCCCTTCTCCTCTACATGGCAAATCTTGGGCACCCAGAGACCACTGTGCTCAATGGCTGATGCACTGTGATGCAGCCACGTGTCTCCTGAGCTGTTTCCTATCTGAATTAGAACAGACTTCTTAAACCACAGTGATAATGCTGTTCTCAAGAAGAACTCACCAAAGCCCTTGCCAGATTGATCCCATGGTCATTTGCCATCACTGTGAAAAATCTCCTTTCCCTTTGGTCCCTTCCCTTCAGGCACTGGGTTGTGTTACTTTACTTGCTCAGTGGAACCCTCTGCCATTGCTCTGTCTGTTGCAGCAGGGAGTCCTCCCCAATTAACTGCTCAGAGCAGTTCAACAGGCTGACTTCCTGGGTGCCCGCTGTACAAGATGATCTGGTGGCCATGGCTAGTGGCTGATGTGCACAAAGAAAGAGACTTCAATGGACTTGTAAGAGCAGCCACACTGAGTTAAGATAAGGGTCCATTTACTCTAGTGCCCTGTCTCACAGCAGATGCCAAGGGGAGAGAGAAGATGCAAGCATGTAGTGAAAGTTAGTTTGTGATTTAGGGATTTTCTGAGCCAGAGATAGTGCTGGTACGTAACGGTGCTCAGTGGACCTTTCACACGGTGACCTACTCACTGCTTTTGGACAGACAAACATCTAGTGTCCATAGCATGCGAGCAACCTGACCCCAGAGTTGATCCTGTTTTGTGCAGGAGGTTGGACTAGAGGCTTCCTGAGGGCTCTTCTAGCTTGAATGTGATCTGCGGCCACGTGTGCTGCGACTTCATCCATAGGTATGGGAAACACCTACTTTTGTTTGTCCTGAACCTGCCTGCTGCTGGTTTCATTTAGTAACCTTCAGTGCTCATGTTGGAGAGACAGTGACCCACTGTTTTTTGCTCAGCTTAAATTATGATTTCATAGATATTTGCCATATTTTCCATTGTCTCCTGTCCAGTGTGGAGTCCTAGTCTATTTAGTTTTGCCTGTGCAAAAGCTGTTCCGTGCCTTTGATGATGCTCGTTTTCTTCACTCTCCATACTGTCCCTGACCTACCATACACTTTATTGTGAGGGAGACAGAACAGTACACTGTACTAAAGATGAAGGTCCATTGTGAAGTCATACAGGGGTCCTGTGATGTTCTCTATTCCTTTCTTAATGCCTTTTAACAGTGACTTTGCTTCTGGAGACCCCTGCTAAGCAACAAGTAGATAATTTGGGGGTTTTTTTCTTCTTTTTTTTGACCGTTTATAACCTTGTGGTCTCACTGGTGGGTGGTAGGAGGGAGCATCAGCATTCATTGTTTGTGTGGGAAGTTAATGTTTTGGGTTTTTGTTTTTTTTTTTTTCCCATCTGCACTTTTACATGAATTTTAGAGCCACCCCATTTCTTAAGGCCCTTCAGCAGGTCTTTGCAGCTGACCCTTATCTATCTGAGCAACTCAACCTCAAAGCAAAGTTTGTCATCCTATTATTCAGCTCCTCTTCCGCATCCTCTAGCAGCGAGTTGAGTAAGATAGTCCTGGAGCTGCCGCTGGGCCTTTACTGATGGCCAGGGGACATTGAAAAGTGCTTCCACTCATATTTATTGTTTCTTGGATTTTTTTTTTTTCCCTGTTCCTGATGGCAGCTTAGCTCTAAGATCTTTTGGCAAGGTCCCATATCCCATACCTTTTGCAAATTAAGACAGGCTCTACTGTCTGGATCACCCTTTTCTATGTGCTTGTCAGCTCTTTCAGAGACCACTAGCACATTTGTGAGGCATGATTCTCCTTTACAGCTAGACAGTGTCTGTCCTGACTTCACTGGATGTCTAACAGCCTTACTGACCAGCAAGAGATCGTGGGGGAGGAGGATGACTAGCACCTGAGTTCGAGCTGCAGCCGTATCATGGGGATTTAGTGCCTGTCCTGGCTTCACAATACAGGCTCAGGCTCCTTTTGAGCGGCTGTAGCTACTTCCCACGTTTCTCGTTGTCCAGTCTAACTCCGCAGGCTGCTTCTTTCTGCTGGCAGCATCCTGACTCACTCCTCTGTGTTAGCTGGCAATCTTATAATCAGGAGTTTATTGTAAATCCACTGGGCTTGGGAGCAGCTTTGGATAGTTGTGCCAAAACGGAACCATATGTGTATTTATTCCTGCGCATTGTGCTGAAATAAGAAAACCTCTTGCCCTCTGGCAAGCCTTGGAGTGTCAGCTAGTCCCTGGAAACATTGAGAAGTGGGGTTTGGGAAAGGCAAGTCAGCACTGATGAGCAAAGGGCAAAGAGCTACAGGGCGCTGCTGTTCAGACTAGGGAAGGCAGTGCATTGACCATGCGGTTAGCAGCTGATGCCAGAGCCTGCTGCTTGAAGCTAAGTGGTCTGAGAGCCATACAGGCGCTGTGGTTGGGTGCTGCAGGCAATTCCCTGCTTCCCCAGGCTAAGCTGAGCCACAGGCTCAGAGCTGGTGTGTTTCCACTGGAATTGGGGCTAAAAAACTGAGAGGGTCTTGACCCCTGTCTCAGCCTTAATTTGCATGTGTTTAAACAGTGTGTGTGTGTCACACCAGAAGGTGCTCGTGCTTACAGAGAGGTGTGTGAGCTGCCTGGGGGGGGGGGGGGGAGGGGGGGGGGGGG